TTTGAAAACACATAATCATTATTGAAAATTTAGAAAATATAGTGAAGTTTAAGGAAAAAAATTAAATCACCCATAATCCAGGGCCTTTTGCACTCTCGCCCTGTCCTTCCCTGCCCCCTTCCCAGTGTGCACACGTGTACACACACACTGGCTTGCTCTGACCGGAGAGTTTGATGTGCTCTTGTCACTTCATTAACATTGTGTCAGAAGCACAATGGACTGAGGCTTACTTCACAGAAATACAGGCAGTCCCTAGGTTACAAAGGAGATGGGCTCTATAGGTTTAAGATGAATTTGTATATAAGCCAAAACAGGTACATTTACCTATTACCTGTAACAGCCTCAGAAAGGAGAGTTGTCCGTGGGTTGGATGTTTGTAACTTGGGAACTAACTATGATAGCCTCCACTCATTAAGTAAAAGTTGTACATGTGTTGGGTGTTTATAACATGGGGACTTACTGTAATAGCCTCCTCTCATAAGGGCAAATTAAATGTTTGTAACTCAGGGACCACCTGTAAGTTCCCCCGTCTCCTCACCTAATCTCTGAGTGGATGGGACTCAACCTCCTACTTCCACCCCTCACTTCCATCTGGTTTTGTTTTTGACCCTCCCCTCTCTGTTGGAGTTTTTCTCTCAGACTATACAGACCTTCCCTCAGGTCTCCCCATCCTGGGAACAGCTCCACTCAGTCCACATGGCCCCAGAATGCCACCGCAGGAATGCAGAGGAATGCGACAGGGGTGCCCGAAGGCCGTGGCTGCTCCTCCTTCCCTCCCACTTTGGCCTCCTGTCTCCTTCTCCAGGAGTCTTTTATGGCCTTGACCAGCAGGAAACCCTAACACCAGGGTCTAGTTTCTCCTGGTGTCCTCTCCTGTCTCCCTGGCTCCTGAAATTTCTCCCACAGGGCCAGGACCCTAGAGAGTGGGGGAGGGCAGAATCTCCTTCTGAGGAGCTGCAGGCAGAAGGGTGAGGGCCATGAAGTTTCCAGGCTCTTAGGGAACCTCAGCATGGGTGGTCTGGCCTCTCTGCAGGTGAGGAACACTAAGGCCTACATGGAACACATAACTGTTACATGCAGGTGAAGTGACACCGGTGGCAGGGAGATTAGAATCTGTAAACCTTCACGACACCACAACAAACCGTATGTCAATATGGATCTAAAGTGCAAGCAAATATTCTGCTAGTTTTTAATTGTATGTTCATTCTTATAGATAAAATTCACCTCATTCTTACAGTAAATGCATGACCAGTTCACCCCATTACCCTGAGAGGTTCCATGGCCCTCTTGTTTAGAGCACCGAGGGTGCAGTCCCAACCCATGGAAGGACCCCAGATCCCACAGGCCGACTCACTGACACAGGCCTGGCGGACATCCCTGACAGCAGAGTCCATTCATGTGAGCTGAGTGCAGGGCCAGCCCTGTGTGAAAAGCTAGGCAGCTGGGGTGCTGCTTGAGCCGTATCACAGGGGCAGCGCACACAGCCCAGATTCCACAGATTTCTGCATTTGCTGTACTAGTTTACCACAAGTGCAAGGAAAGTGTCTTGAGGAAGGGGCAGCTTTTTCTAATTCACATAAAATCCCCAGAAGAGCTAGCATGGTGCATCCCTAGGTTAGACTAGCAGTGGAATTGTGCACATGTGCCATCCCCACAGCTGTCTTATGCAGGGCAGGTGTGCTGAGGAGGTAGGGGAGGTGACAATAGTAGGACACCCAGGGGCCTTGCTGTAGCCTTGGGCTGGTGCCCACAGCCCAGACCTGAGCCTCCGGGTTTCCTGCTCCAAATGCCTAGTGTTACGTGGTCCCTAGAGGTTAGCAGTGCCCATCGCCCGTCCAGGTTCCCAGAAAGTGGTGCCAGCTCAGCTGTGAGCAGCAAGGGAACACAATGTCAAAAGGACCCCAGTGTTCAAGATGACCAGCCAGCAATTCCTATCCCATGGGACAGCTACAGGGGACTCCAACAAACTGGGAGCCGAGCAGCCAGCCAGTGCATAACCTCAGTGTGTGGTAGAGGCTCTCTCCCTTTTCAGAGGACACAGGCCTGTCAGTCAGACTGGACAGATCCTGACAGCGGGCCGGTCCTCCCTTGGCTGGGGCTGGAGACACCAGCTTGCCTTCCCCTCAAGTTCCCACGCAGACGTCCTCGGGAGGACACGGCAGGCAGTAGGGCTCACTTCCTTCTGCACCCTCACAGTCAGCATCCCCAGCACTTCACTGGTGGCATGAAACCATTTCTTCAGTCACATGTCCAGAGGAGCCCTGGCTGTCCCTGCAGCTGTGCTCACCCCTTACGTGTAGGTATTAACCCAAGAACATTGTCATTTCCCTGGCTCCCATGTTCTGCGGGCAGCCTCACACTTGCCCTCATTTTTTCCTCCTGAAGAGCTGCTCGTGGAGCGTGTCAAGCAGGCTCTAGGGAGGAACATGGCAGAAGTGATCTGAATGGTCTCTGGGGAGGAGCAGACAGCAGAGACTGCAGCCAGCACTGTGCCCGCTGCCCCACTCCCAGGATAGAAGCCCTCAAGGCTGCATTTATGTGAGTGTGTGAGAGGCAGGGAATAGGAGTGACCTGGGAGGACTGATGGACAGCAGACACACCTGAGGCCTGGGGTCGCAGACAGACCTGGGGGCCACAGGAGCCCTGCTCAGGCTTCTGTCTTTCCCCAGGATCGCGGGAGTGCAGTGTATGACAGTGCCCGGCTACTCCAAGGGCTTCGGCTACCAGACAGGGCAGAGCTTCTCTGGGGAGTTCGACCATGCCTGGAACGCTGTGTTCTTGGAGGGGAGATGGCACCTGGTGGACAGCACGTGGGGCAGTGGCCTGGTTGACACCACCACCTCCAAATTCACCTTCCTGTAAGTCTTCACCTTTCGGTGTCTTGTCTGCTGGGTGCCTGGTCAGAAGAATGGAGGAGGCAGCAGGTGGGGAAGGAGAGCCAGGAGACTGAGACACCCCCACTTTCCTAAGTCTCAGATGTAAGCTGGCTCTAGGCCTATTGTAAGGGCCCAGGCCCTTTTGTCTGTCACCTCACCCCTCTGTCACCTACAGCTCCCTCTACCAAAGCACTTAAAGCCTCCAGCACTTGCCCACAGGCCAAACGTGGGGAAAGGCGGGGCCAAGACACTACTTTCGCTGTGGGCCTTTTCCCTCTGGGCCTTTGGCCTATTGCTATTACTCTGTGGGACACCACAATGTTCTCCTGCTATTGGCCCAGATGCTAGGCTCCTTCTCCTCTCTGGGATGAATGAGACCACATCACATCTCCAAGGAAGGGGTGGGGCAGGGTCACTGCCATGTGGGCCAGGCGGCTGGGGTGCACGGGACTAGAGAAGAGCTCTGGCCAGCCCTGGCCTTAATCAAGGCTATGTACAACATTATTCATGGAGCAGGCTGTCCACCAGCAGCTCAGATCCCTTTCTATTCAGAAAAGTGAGCGTGCTCTCTCAGATGTACGCAGCTTAAATCTTGGCACTCCCACACGTGGGACAAGCCAGGCTCACGCGCCCTGCACACAGGGCCTGTGTGCACAGATGTCTCCCTCACCTTGTTTCTCTGAACACTGCTCGCCTTAGACAGAGTGAAGCCTCCCCCTTCATGGGGTAAGTCTCCCTGTCCTTCTCTTTATCCCCTTTGTGACCTCCAGGGAGCCACGGAGGCCCCTAGTGGCACAGCCGCCAGGCAGAGCCGAGACAGGTGATGGGGCAAGGGTAGGGTGACCAGACGTCCCGCATCGTTTTAAAAAAGTCCCGATTTTTGGAAAGAATGTACGAACGGGCAAGAGAACAGGAAGGGAATATACGGTTTTCGGCTGCCAGGTGGCTATTTCGCCAGAATATGAGTTTTATATTATTTTTGTTAATTTTATAATGTTAAACTGTAATAATAACAAATAATTGTTGAGAAGTGATTATCGAGAACTGCTTATCAAAGTTTGCATTGTTGTCAGGCCCTGCCCTGGCCGGTCCCCTGCCCCGCCCCTGCCCCACCCCCGCCCCGCCCCCGTCCTTGTTGTCCCGCTTTACAAATGTGAGAATCTGGTCACCCTAGACAAGGGCGTCCTCACAGCCCCCTGCTGGCCCCTGGTCTGCAGATTGGGCCTTTTCTCCCTTCAGGTTTCTATTTATCTTTGAGAGCAAGCGGAGTGCATTGCCTCCCCCACACCCCGCCACCCTAGGTGCTGGGAGCAGGCCACGGTTTCAGGCCTCAGACCCTGGCTTGGCTCCAGTTTCTGGAAACGTCCACTGAGGAGGAGTTTCTATTGTCCATGTTAGACTGAAGACGGTACCTCCTCCATTGGAGATGTTGATAGGACCCCTCCTGTCGGTGTGTTAGGCCAAAGAAAGCCCAAAAGTCCCCCATCGGCCCCACCTCCTCCTGCACAGAGCCAGGGGCAGGCTTAGCTCACACAACCACTGACCAGCTTGTCCCCTGCTTCAGCTACAACGAATTCTACTTCCTCACCCATCCTGCACTGTTCATCGAGGACCACTTCCCAGACAACAAGAACTGGCAACTGCTGAAACCACCGCAATCTCTAAGGCAGTTTGAGAACAATATGTATCACAAGAGTGAATTCTACAACAAGGGGATGCTGAGTGCCCACCCAGAGACGTCCACAGTCAGAACAGGTGAGCCCACAGCAGGGGCAGAGCAGTGTGGGCCGTGCCTCCAGGACCCCACCTGAGGCTGCCCTGCCAGGCACCCCGCGTGGCCCATGAGCGTGTTGGTGTGTGGTGGCTGCTGAAGCAGCCCAGGTTCTCAGGGAAGAGCATGGCCATTGGCACTGGGGCAAGGGCACAGGCTCACTCACAATGGCATAAACCAAGAAGGGGACATGTTGAAAAGCTGCAGGGTTCCCAGCACCGAGGTCCTGTCACACAAGCCAGGGCTAGAGGTTCAAGCTGGGTGAGCTCTGCACGCACAGCAGGGACAAGGACTAAGGACTGCCCAGGGCCTCCTGGTGAAGCACCACAGACACTGGCCATCCCGCTGTGTTCTCCTCCCAGACTCCCACCAGAGAGAATGTGTGGGCCCAACAGTTGGTACCTGTGTGCCTGGGTCTAACCACCGAGGTCGAGGAGCAGCAGCAGTCTCCATGGGAAAGCTGGGGGTAGTCCTCCTTAAGGAGTAGTCACTGAGCTCTGGGTCTTGGGAGGTGGGGAACAGGTGCAGTGGGTAATTGGCAATAGATGTATTCTAGAGAGTGATAGGAGAGGAGGAGCACAACAAGCCCCATTTCCAAACTCAAGCACTCCAAAGGAGCACTGGGCTTCAGAGGGCTCAGCCTGGCCTGGCCCGCTCAGTCCCCCCTCACTCCTGGAGGCAAGATCCAGCCTTCTCCAGCCAGCTTCCCTGGGCAGTGCAGGACTCAGAGTTTAGTGTCTTCCATGGCTGGCCTGGGCTGAGATTGGCTCCCTCACCCCACAAGGTCCGTGGCATTTATGGGGCTAGCCTGGGGGCCAGAACTGTGGTCATGAGAAAGCAGGGCTTTCTCTAGAAGGCTGTTATGCCTCTCCATGGCCCCATGGCTGGGCACGCATCCTGGGCCCACTGTGGGCCCAGTGAGTTGAACAGCCCACACTCCCACACGTCAGCAAGGGACTGCCTGTTGGTATGGTCTGTGCCAGCAAGGGGCATCCATAGGTCCAGAACAGGAGGCCTAAGCTCACACTGGCCATTAGGGTGGCCTATGAGCCCAGGGTGAGGGGGAAGCTGGGGAGCAGAGATGCCCCTAAGTTAGTTCCAGGCAACTTGTCCCTTCCTCTATACCCAGGCTTCCTTAGCCAGGCTGCTGAGCTCTTGTATACTCTTCAGAACTACAAACACCCAGCAGCTCCTGCTGCTGAACTAGCAGCGTGGGGTTGCTCCGCTGAGACTCTGTCTCTGGAACTTGCATAGGGGGTGAACCTGTGCAGTCTGGAGTAGGCCACTGTGCCACAGGAGGAACCCACCAGGCCCCAGCAGCAGCACAGTAATGCCACCAAGTTCGGTTTGCCTTTTCAAGAGACATAAAAATGTAAACATCAGATTGTTTAATTTATAGCATTTAAAAACTTGATTCCATATTTGTGACACATATGTAAAGAACATTTCTTTGTGGCAGCTAGTTATGTTAAGAGTAGGGATGAGAAAGAAACCAGAGAGAAACTAAGGAGAGAAGGAAGAGGGTGCCCAGATAGGGGACGGGAGAGAGCTAAGGAGGGGCGCGGGAAGGAGGGTGCAGGGAGAAAGGAAGAGGCCTCCGGCTCCTACAGAGGGCCCGAAGGGGTCATCAGCCCTTTATTTCAGGTCATCCTGGTCATTCAACACACCTTTGTCAGGAACTCTCTGGGCCAGGCACTAGGCTATGGCAGAAAATGATTGCGCCTTCCCCAGAGAGCCCATAGCTCTGCAGGTAGGGTACACCTTACCCTAAAATGCTCATAGAATTAATCACAACAGGCTTGGCACCTGTGGCTCAGTGGTTACACTGCCAGCCACATACACCGGGGCTGGCAGATTTGCACAGCCAGGGCGCATAGTGAGACTCTGTCTCAAAAATAAATAAATAGGGCAGTGCCTGTGGCTCAGTGAGTAGCGCACCAGCCCCATATACCGAGGGTAGTGGGTTCAAAACCAGCCCTGGCCAAACTGCAACAAAAAAATAGCCAGGTGTTGTGGTGGGAGCCTGTAGTCCCATCTACTCAGGAGGCTGAGGCAAGAGGATTGCCTAAGCCCAAGAGCTGGAGGTTGCTGTGAGCTGTGACGCCACAGCACTCTACAGAGGGTGACAAAGTGAGACTCTACCTCTAAAAATAAATAAATAAATAAAATCTTAAGTCTCCCCCAGTTGCTGACTGAACCCCATTTTGGACAAGGAGGAATCCCCTAAATCTGAGTTGCTAGCCAGGAGAAAGAAGATCAGACCTCTCTCAGCATGTCTCACCCCCTTAGAGATGTCCTTTGTGACCCATTAACAGTCCTAAGACTATGCAAACAAACAAACAAACAAAAAGAATGAATCGCAACAGTGGTGTGTTCTCTGCAGCAGAGCCAGGGTCAGAAAAGAGGCTTCCAGGGAACCCAACCTCACCTGAAGGGGCCAAACAGACTTCTTTCCAGCCTCATTCAGGCTTGGAGGAGGCAGTGGGGAGGGAGGACCCTGCAGCATGGAGGGGTGTGACTCCGGCAGCTCTGAGAGAACAGAGGAGACAGGCCTCTCCATGGGGTTCCAGTTTGAGCTGGGTGGGTGACCGAGATAAGGGGGTGAGCAGGTGGACATTTGCATAGGAGCCCGTGGGCTGCTGTGTGGGGTGCTAGATGAAGCTCCACAATCCAAGGTGGATTGCAGGGGGACTGGACCTCATGGTGTGGGAAAGACTCACAACCAGCTCTGATGTGAGATGGAACAGGATGGGGCTGAGAGCTACGGAGGGCTGAGACAGCCTCTGCCTGCTGAGCTGGTTTAGAAGAAGCAAGAGGAGGGAAGGGTTTCCACCCGGAGGGGATACCGAGTCTGCTCCTCAGTCACTTTCCTGTGGAGGTCCCCATGGGACAGATGTGACTGAAGGCAGACATGCATTCTGCCTCCCCAGCAGGAGAGTCTGAGCCCCAGCCAGGCAGGGTTCCTAGTGAGCGCGGCCGCACAGCCCGTCTCCTTCCTCTGACTCGTCTATGAACGGGCTGGGGTTGCTGAGGCTAGTGGCAGGTGACCCGCTCCTGAGGGAAGGAAAAGTCAGGCTCTCAAAGAACCCACTGCCTCTCCTCACGGTCCTGGGAGCCAGGGAGGACCAGACAGGTGAGTCCTCACAGGCTGTAAAGACCAGGGAACTGACCTCCTGTCCCTAAAAATTAATCACTGGAACAGAGGAAACAAAAGTGCAGGGTAAAGGGAGAGCCGGAGGGAAGGGGGGATGTGAAAGACCCCTGTGTACACACTGACCCTTCAGGGTCCCATTCCAGAAACATGGCTAAGACACCCCTAGGTGAGAAGCAGGCGGGGGCTGGGGGAGCACAGTCTCCCAGAGTGAGGCCATTCCAACTAGATTTCAAGGTCATGGCATGCATTGACGTGACAGCTGTTGATGCTGTAACAAACAGATGCTGGAGGGGGTGGCATGAAAGTAAGACCCGAGGCTTGGGGGTGATGATACCCTTCCTGCCCTCTCTAGAATAAGGCAGCCTCCATGTAATGGGAATTAAAGGGGGACAGAGTTTTCTTGACACCCCCAACCCCAGCTTTCAGCTCTCTCAAAGAGATCCACCTCAGGGAATAGAGGAGCCCTTCCAGAGGTGTGCTGCAGACTGCTGGTACTGTGTTCAGTGATGTTGGATCAGTTGTCTAAAGTCAATCATGGTGATTACACCACAGAAATGAGCAAGTGCTACGTGTATGAGTCAGAGCCATTTTCCCCAGAGAGAGTTGTTAAACATTTACCAGCACATCAGCACGTGGAGGACCTAGCCCTCCTGACCCCGACTTTCTTTCCACAGTAAACGGGAAGGCCACGATCACCATCGAGAGCTGTGCTCCAACACTGTTCATGTTTATGCTCAATGGCAAGCAGGAGCACGGGCTGCTGAGCCTCCGGAAGAACGGGATGAAGCTGGAGGTGTACCCCGCAACCATGGGCACCCACAAGCTGCAGATCTTCGCCAAAGGCAACTCCGACATCTACAGCTCGGTGCTGGAGTACACACTCAAGTGCAACTACGTGGACCTGGGCGTCCAGCTGCCATCCGAGCTTCACCAGCCCGTGGGCCCCAGCTGGTTCTCGGAGCAGATGGGCATCACGAAGCCCTCCCACCCTGACCCCATCATCCACACCAGCGACGGGCGCTGCTCCATCAGCTTCGGTGTGGAGGAGGGCATCAGCATCCTGGCTTCGCTGCACGGGGATGACGGCCCCGTCACTGAGGAGACACAGCGGCGCTACATCTTCCAGCTGCACCGGGAGAAGCAGGTGGAGCTGAGGGTCCAGCTGCCCCATGCTGGCAAGTTTGCCCTCAAAATCTTTGTGAAGAAGAGGCAGGAAGCAGGAAACTACGTCTTTGTCTTCAATTACCTCCTGTGCTGCACCAACACCAAGGTCAACTGGCCTGTGTTCCCTGAGAGCTTTGGTAACTGGGGGCAGGACAATGAGCTGCTAGAGCCCCTGTCAGGTGTACTTCCTGCCAACCGGAACATCCCATTCAAACTGAAGCTGCACGGCATTGCCAAAGTCCTGGTGAAGGGGCAGGACACGTGGCCCCTGACCCTGAACCACGAGGGCTACTGGGAGGGCAGCTGCAGCACGGCCGGCTGCCAGGAGGTCTACGTCATGGTGCTGGAGAATGCCAACCACAACTTCTACTCCTACATCCTGAAATACAAAGTGAATGCCCAGTGAGGGCTTGGCCCCAAAAGCCCTCCAGAAGGCCAAAGCCAGGCCTGCCTGGGGGGTCCAAAGGCAGTGCAGAGAGCCCTGGACACCACTGAGTCTGCATGAAATCCCTTCTAGGCCTCTGCCTCAGTCTCCCTGCTCTGCCACAGAAGCTGTGATATTTATGTTCTGAAGGCTCCACTCACTTGTCTCCCTGGCCCAGGAGACAGAGGCAAAGGCTCTTTAGAAAAAAAAGGTGCTATGTAAATCCAAGGTATTGTAAACTGTACACCAGCGCCCAGATGCCCCTTCTCGTGTCCACACTGTTGTGTTGTTGTAGGGCCCTGTGGGAAAGCAGGGATATTGCCCAGGCTTAAAGCTGTTCACATGATGCTTAGAGAACTCCCCTCCATGCCCAAGAGGGGCCTGATTCACAAGGCTGAGTCATCCTTGAATCCCAGAGCCCCTTTCAACAGCAGGACAGTGTTTCTCCACAGCTCCAGGCCCCCGGGAACGTGGGACGACAGGCTTTTCCCAGACTTGACCAGCTTCCACATTCCTGCTGCCTCTTCATTAGCCACTTCTTGTTCTTCAAGAGCCTTAGACAAAAGGTGCTGAGAGGAAGCTGCCAACCCAGCCACCCCACACTGACTGAAGGCAGAGCACCCCCGGAGTCCCGTGCATAGCTGGGAAGGTGACAACCAGAAGGCCTGAGGGGAATCCAAAGAAAGAGCAGTCAGTGCTCACTGTGGTGACATGGTGGGGACGGAGGGTGGTCCAGAGACCAGAGTCTAAGGGCATAAGACCTCTGGCTCTGGGTTTCTAGAGGGATGTGCAGGGCAGTGAATTCAGCTCAGGGTGAGGGACCCGCACCCAGCCCTCTGAACCTGCCTTCACAGGGACCCTGTACATAACCCTAAGCAAAGGCCTGGGCGGAGCGCAGGGGAGCGGAGTGGCACAACTGTAGCCATGCCCAGGAGATTTGCAAGGTAACAAACTGGTCTCTGCCTGCTCCCAGCATCTCCACTAACACAAACATGACTAGAGAGACCTCCAGCTACATGGGGACAGTTTTTGTGTTTGTCCCTGAGAAAAAGCCTTATGCTTCCTCCCTTTCTCTGAGAAGAGAGACCCCACCACACAGAGTCCTGCCTTCTGCAGGGACATTTCAGAGCCCCTTGCTGGCTCAGGCCAGGCCTGAGAAGTCTGGCTGTGCAGCTGGCCCTCAGCAAAGCCTGGAGCTGGCGTTGCCATGGCAACGGTGGAAGGGCTGACTGTGGCGAGGGCAGCCGGGAAGAAAGGACAGAGAGGCCCCTCGTGGCTGCTGCAACACCATCTTGGCACACGACACACTCTGGGATGATCTCTGCCAACCTCCTGGCTTCGCCCAGCTCCCCGGTCCCTGCCTGTCTCAGAGCCCCACCCCTGAGAGCCAGGCCTCAGCACCTCTCCCCACTGTTGCTCCACTTGCCCCCAGGCTCAAACACAGCCAAATCCAGACAGGATCCTAATGGCCTCCCCCTCTACATTCACATTTGTGCATCCAACAAATGCTCAGGGACACTTAGTAAGTGCAGGAGCCATGCTAGATGCTGGGACTACAGAGGTGAACCCTGCCAGCCCAGCCCCTGCCTCCCCAGAGCTCAGGGTGGGAGGAGCACCCACTACTCAGCAAGGACCTGGCCCACAGCCAGCTCACAAGGGCGCCTCTCCTGCACCAAACCGGGGGCCCGGAGCACAAGGGGCATGCCTTCTGGGGGGGCTAAGCTGCCCCAGTCTGTTCCAGCACCCTCTGACAGGCTCTCCACCTGGCCAGCACCCTGTCACTCACACCTGAAAAATGCACAGAAGGCCCAGAGACATAACTGACATGCACCACCACAGGGAGACGAGGGGAATTTTTACACCCTGAAAACAGCCTTTTTACACACCTTCGATTTTACAGGCTGAAAGAAATGTGCTGTGTTTCATCAAAATAATAAGTGCCTTCTATGACACATGTCACTCACTGGACCCAATGCTGGCTGCCAAGGCTAGTCCTGTTGGAGACCTTCTAACAAAAGATGTACCTTCTGATAGACAATGTGATTAATCAGTAAATTCTGCAGCACCTAGAGGATGCCACCCAGCAAAGCAGGAGCTGTCCCCAGCACCAAAGGAGGCCCAGCCTCTCAACGCACCCGCTGGGCATCCTGCTGTCCCTCTTTCTTCATTTAACCAGCCCTCCCCACCCCCACCTTCGTAAAGACAGCTGTAGGCACAGTCAGAAAATCACCTGCATTTCTTTCCCACTGAAGTAAAAATACATGAAATGAAATCCAATCTTCATGAATTTTTACACGCATGCTGCTCAGGGTAGAAATTTGGGATTGCATTTTGAAGGCCTTTATTCAAATCCTCATCTTTTGTTTGTTTCCCCGGTCCGCGAGTCCCGGTGGCCTGTGGAATGGCACGGGTGCTCCCTGGTGGCCGAAGTGCGGCACTGCGGGCGCTGCACACCTCCATGAGGCTGGATCCATCATGGGGTTTTTACGCAGAACTTGAAAAATACCGTGGAGTTGTTTGTGTTAAAATCATTGGTGCTTTCTCGTGGCTTCTCAGAGCTTCTTTATGTGTACTTGGAGCACATCTTGGCTACGCGCAAGCTGTGAGGGGAGCATGGGGACCTGCTGGCGTGGCGAGAAGATGGAATGTGAGAGGAAATTAGGAATGTTTTGCCTGGAAATCCTTTCTTGAAACAGAAACACTGGACATAGGACTGGATAGGACAGCTTTGACCTGCTCATTGCTATACCAGTGAAGCATCAAAACCGTTCAAACTCAGAGAACATTGGCTAGCAAGTTCTAGGATGGCAGCCCCCAGGCTATAGGGCAGAAAGGTGCCCAGGGCTTGGGAGGGTGGGGGAGGAGAAAGGCAGAGGCCTACAACCCCAGCTGCAATTAACTTCTTTTCAGCTTGTTTTAAGGCGCCACCAGCACAGCTGAACTCCACCTTCAATCTGATTATGAGCATTGTGAGGTCTCCTACGCTACATTGTCCCACCAGGACACACTTCTCACAGCCTGCTGAGATTAAAAGGACAGAAATAGGTTAAGTGAAGCATGAAGGATTTAGGCTAGACATAAAGAACCATTTCCTGTTGTTAAGCAGGAGGGACAAGTTGCCAAGAAAGTCTGTGAAATCCTCTTCTCAAAGGACTTGAAAAGTAGAAGAGAGTTCCCAGTATTTTAGATGCTCACTGCTTGCTGGACAGATTAGGTTCCCTCCACCCCAATTAATCCTTACAACACGTTGGCTCACCCACAGCAAACAAAGGGTAAACGGTGTTGCGAGGTCGTTTGCTATTGACAGAGTTTTCCTAGGTGGTGTGCATCTGCGGCCCACGTTGGTTTATCTGAGGTCTATCATTTCTTTTCATTTGGAATAAGTAGTTGGAAACCTTAAGAGGTGATTACTTCTCATCATGTGTGCGTTGAGTTGTGTGGGCCGGTGGCTGTTGAGTATGCTTTCCCCACATTGTTGCTGGTGTTGTTTTTCAATAAAATTTGTATTCATTTTTATCCGATAATGTAATTATCGATTCATTCTTATCACTGCTCTCACAAGGTGTGGGGCGGGGGAAACAGGAAAAAGTACTTTCATGTTCAAAGGGAGCCCTAGAAAAAAATCAATGTCCCAGCCATTTGAATGTGATGGTGAGATGCAAATGAATGTCAGGCAAATAGCTATTTCACATTAAAGAAAACATAATTAGGTTAGCTCCAGCCCCTCTATGGCTCACATGCCTTTGAAGAACATGAAGGCAGTGTTTCTTTCATTGAATCTTGTTTAACTTGAAATTTTTTAAGTCAACCCTAATTTCTTTTTATAGTGAGAGGAAAAAAAAATGTACCAAAAATGCCTATCAGCCTACTTTTGTTTTGAATATATATATATATATATTTCTTGATATTCATTTAGGTGCAGAAACTTTCCAGTGGGTTACCTAAAGCAGATTATTCATAAATTAGACATTTAGAGAAATACAGAAAATGAAAATCTAGACACCTCTGAGAAGCTGCCGTAACCATGGAGACCATTCTCGTAGCTGTAGTGTGAAGGACAAAAAGAACTTGTGTTCCCAAATCTGGCCTCATCATGTCTTTCGCTGTGAGATCCACAAAAATGAGCCCCAGCATGCTGCTCCTCAGGAAGGAGGCACGACGACATAATACTGGGAAGACAGGAGAAAACGTCTCCTCCACAAAAGAAGGAGTAACTCTTGAGTTATTAAAACAGTCTGAAAATCCCACCCCGAGGCTGGAAGGGATGACCTCCAACGTCCCTTCCAGTCCGGAGAGTTTGTGATGCCCTGTCTCTGTGAACAGATGCTGGCAGGCGGTGGGCCTGAGGTTGTCAGCCTCAGAACATCTGAAGGGCCCTGCTGGGGAACATCTGAAGGGCCCTGCTGTGTTAAGAGCCTGCCCCTGGAGCCCCTGGCAGACTGCGCTGCTGGCTCCTCTCTTGCCTGAGGGCAAGGGGCTGGAGAAAAGCCCAGCAGAGGGACTGGAGGGGAAGCAGCAGTCTCTGACAGGATGTTGGTTCTCTCTGATTTTGCAGCATGCTGAACCAGGGGAAAAATCAACTGGGATGTCCTCTCTGGTTGTCTCACGGGCTTCTCTGAGTCAGAGATGCTGAAATGGAGCTGCCCCCCCCCATTACTCCCAACCCTCCTTCGGCCCCCAATTCAGCCAATGCATCCCCAGGCACCAAGACACCTGAGTCAGACTCACAGTGGTCCCCAGTGACTCCTTCACTTCCCCCTCCCGAGTAATGAAATGAAATCTGGTCCCTTCTGGGTGAGTCTCACGTCCGACCTGCTCTCCCAGCTCCAGCTCCACGTGCTTCCCACGGCCTGCCAAACGTAGGCCCTCCTCATCTCAGCTGGGCTGTTGGGTGGGATTGCTTCTTGTGGTGAGGTAAAGCCCCACTTCTGTCCACTGGCCTCTCATAAGAGGCCAGAACAACAGGGTTGTGTTTAGACAAAGTTTCCATGAATCCCTTCAGAACAAGCTCACCGTCTCCAGAGAAGGCACAATTGGTGTCAGGCACCAGTAGAAAAGGTAGGTCTTCAGACAGAAGCTGGTTTTAACAGGGAATCCGGGGAAAGCCCATTCTCTTCCTTTTTCTCTAGAGACGAGATGCTGTGGTCCTCAGTCCTGGGAACGGTTATGCCAGCAGATGGCTCTTCCCACGAAGCCACCTAGAAGACTGTGGTAGTGTCCAGAGTGGAGCCCAACCTG